AAGAGAAAAGCAAAGAATAGGTGTTGGTGAGGATGTGGAGAAATTAAAAACCCTTGTGCAGTGTTGGTGAGAATGTAAAATGATGCAGCTGTTATGGAAAACAGTATGGCAGTTCCTCAAAAAATTAAAAATTGATACAGCAATTCCACTTTGGGTGTATATCCAAAAGAACTGAAAGCAGGATCTCAAAGAGATATTTGCATACCCATATTTACAGCAGATTATTCATAATAGTCTAAAGGCAGAAGCAACCCAAGTGTCCATAGATAGATGAATGGATAAAATAATGCAATATATACAGTGGAATATTATTCAGCTTTAAAAAAGAAAGGAAATTCTGATACCTGCTATAAAATGGAAGAACTTTGGGGACATTATGCTAAGTGAAATAAGCCAGTCACAAAGACAAATACTGCATGATTCCACTTACATGAGGTATCTAGAGTAGACAAATTCAGAGAAAGTAGAATGGTGTTTGTCAGGGGGTGGGAGAGAGAGAATGGGGGGTCGTTGCTTAATGGGTATAGAGTTTCAGTTTTGCAAGATGAAAAGTTCTGGAGATTGGTTGCACAAGGTGAATACACTTAACAACACTGAACTGCACATTTAAAAATAGTTAAGAAAGTAAAGTTTATGTTACGTGTATTTTACTACAATTAAAAATAAGAAACTGAAAAAAAAATCTATAAAGAGAGCTAACCAAAAAACCAATAGATAAATTACAACAGAATACTAAAAATACCCAAATAATCCAAAAGAAAAGCAGAAAAATGGAATAGAGAAACAAAAAAGACGAACAGAAAGCAAAATAAGAAAATGGTAACCTAATTCCAACTATATCAATAACTACACTAAATGTAAATGGTCTAAATACACCAATTAAAAGCAGAAATTGTCAAGCTGGATTTCTTTTTAAAGATTCAATGAAAAGAAAAGCAGCAATCCACAGATAGGTTAAGAAAGGATGGAAAAAGACGTAACATGAAAACACTAATCAAAGAAGTGGAGTTGCTATGTATTACAATGGATAAAGAGGAATATTACCACACTATTAAAGGGATCAAATTACCAAGAAGATATAAGAATTCTAATTGTGTATGGAACTAAAAACAGATCTTCAAAATACATGAAGAAAAAACTGAAAGAACTGAAAGGATAAATAGACAAATTCATAATTATTCTTGGAGACTTCAGTACTTCTCTCAGCAATGGATAGAATAAGCAGACAGAAAATCAGTGAAAAAATTGAGAAGACCTGAACAATACTATCCATCAACTTTGACCTCATAAGACATTTGTAGAACACTCTACCCAACAACAGCACAATACAAACACTTTTCAAGTGCACCTGGAACATTCATCAAGACATATTCTAAGTCATAATACAAATTTCAAAGAATTGAAATCATAAGGAGCATGTTCTCTGAATATATCAGAATTAAATTAGAAATAAATAATAGAAAGATACCTGGAAAAGTCACAAATATTTTAAAATTAAACCACACACTTCTAAATATGGATCAAAGAAGAAGTCACAAGGAAAATTAGAAAATATTTTTGAACTGAGTTAAAATAAAAATACAACATATCAAAATTTATGAAATTCAGTTAAAAAAGTGCTTAGAGGGAAATACATACAATTATATGCTTAAATTAGGAAAAAAAAAGATCTTATTGATTTAACTTAAACTTTTCCTTTAGAAATCAGATAAAAAAGAGCAAATTAAATCCAAAGCAAACCAAAGAAAATAATAAAGAGTAGAAATCATTAAAATTAAAAACAAGAAAACAACAGAGAAAAGTAAGTAAAACCAAAATAAATAAATTTATTGAATATATCAATAAAATCTATAAACTTCTAGCCATACTGTCCAGGGGGAAAAAAAAAAACCAAGAAGACACATTACCAAAATTAAGAATGAAAGAGGTAGCATAATTACAGACACTACAGATATTTAAAAGATAATAAGGGAATATTATAAGCAATTTTATGCCAATTCATTCATAGGCATGAACTACAAAAGCTCACTCAAGAAGATGTATATAACTTGAATAATCCTATACTAAGGAAATTAAATTTGTAGTTTAAAACCTTTCCATAAAGAAAATTCTAAGCCAAACAGCTTCACTGGCAAATTCTACCAAATTAAAGATTAAGAAATAATACTAATTCTATACAATCTTTCCTGAAAACAGAAAAGGAGGAGACATTTCCAATTCAGGCTGGCATGACCTTGTTATCAAAACCAGATAAAGATATTAGATGAAAGGCAGTATCTCCCATAAACATAGATGCAAAAATTCACCACAAAATATTAGTAAATCATATTGTATTGTACAACATGGGGAATATAGCCAGTATTTTATAGTAACTATAAATGGAGTATAACCTTTAAAAATTTGTGAATCAATATATTGTATACTTGTAACATATAATATTGTACATCAACTACACTTCAATTTTAAAAATATGATATTGTAAAATACATAAATTTAAAATGGAAGAAAAATAAAGATAAAAATAAAATCAAAACAAAATTCTTAGTAAACTAGAAGAAGAACTGAACTGATCTAACCTGAAAACATCTACAGAAGAAAAACTAGAGCTAACACTTATCAGTGAAAAACTGAAGATCTTCCCCCTAAAATCAGGAAAAAGGCAAGGATGTCTACTCTCACCATTCCTATTCAACATGTTAGTGGCATTTCCAGCCAAAATGATAAAGAAAAGGCATACAGACTGCAAAGGAAGAGACTATCTCTATTTGTAGATAATGCTAAGTACAAAATACCAACAAATCTAAAAAAAAAAGCTCCCAAATCTAATAAATGAGAATGGGCAATGCCATTCAAAGCCACAGCTTTTACTTCAAATTTTTAATCTCCAGATCTTTACATCAAATTGCCAACTGGATATCTTCACCTGTATGTCCGAAGAACTCCTAAGACTGAGTACTTCCAAAGCTGAATTTATTGTTATCCTTCCAGACTTGGTCTTTAAAAAAATACATTTTCTATTCTCTTGTAATACAACCTATTACTTGTTCTAATATTTATACTTGTTCTAATACTTGTAGCTTTCCAATATTGATTTATCCATCAACCCAAGTTACAAAATGGAAATTCATCTTAGATTTCTTCTTACCCACTCCACATCTACTTGGTCACCTAGGGTACCAATTAACTTTTGTTATGAAACCATCTGCTCCAAATCTGGAGGCTTAAAACAAAATATTATTTCTTGTGATTCTGTGGGTTGACTGGCTGATTCTTCTGGTCTGAACCATCTTAGTTGGGTTTGGATGGTCTAGGATGGCCTCATACATATGTTTGAGGCCTCAACTGGGAAGGCTGAGATGGTTGGGACACCTGGGGCCTCTCTCCAAGTGGTCCCTCATTTTCTAAGAGGTTAGCCCTAATCTGATTACATGGTGATAGAAGAGTTGCCAGCAATAAAAGAGGAAGTCCCACTGTGTAAATATTTTTCAAGCCTCTGCTAAATTACAATTGCTTTCATCCCAGGGGTCAAAGAGAGGACTAACCAAGGGTACGGATACAGGTAGTCATGAAAACATAATTCAAAATGAGGGGCATAAAACTGTAAAGATCTACCACATTTAATTCTATCGATTTTATCTCCTCTCTCCAATCTCATTCTTCCTCTAGAATCCCAATTCACTAAGGAGTTCAAGACTTCTCAGGTTTTACCTCAACTACTTGTAATAATCTCCCAATTGAGCTTGCATTGCTCTAAGTTATTAGCATGTGAATTTCCTGGAAAACAAAAATCTGGTCACATAACTCTTCTGCTTAAAACTCAATAGTTTCCCTCTGGCCACTAGAATAAACTAAAGAATAAATTCCTAAATGGGACCCATAAACTTTCATTTTCTAGCCCCTCTTTACTCTTACTCTTCCCTCATAAGCATCCTACTCTTTCAGAAACAAAGAACTAAGTCCTTCAAAGGGCTGTGGTATTTCAATACCATGACTTTACATATAATGTTGTTTCTATCTGGAATGTCCTATTACTACTTGTG